GTGGGATGGGGGGTATACTGGGGTTTTTGGTGGTGGAAAATGGGCACTGGTGAAGGAACATGTGTTTCATCATTGTATGAACGAGACTTAAACCCAAAAGCTTTGTAACTGCTCTCATGGTGATTCAATAAGTAAATTTATAAAAGGAAAAAATACATATAAGCTCTGTCCTGCAGTTTTCAATTAAAGCTTTTCTCCTGTTAAAAGATGCCAGGCACAAATCGGGTAAGAGGTATATTTTGGTGCATGCCTCTCTTTGCCCCTGTGTATAATTTCTTTACCTTTAGTTGGTAGTTTGGGCCTGCACCCAGGAACGCCAGCTATAACAACCCTCCTCTGTCGAGGAGCTGTGTAAACTCCTTCGGCCAGGGATTACAATTAAAGGATGCTCGCGGGCTCTCTGGGTGGCTCTCTCTCAGCGCCCATGTTTGGGGCTCTAGAACCGCTTCCCCACCCGGGACGGCTGTTGCCTTGTATGGATGAAGGAAGAACAAGGGCCAAGCTGGTTGCTGATTAGATTAGTTGCTGTTGATTCAATCTCTCGTCACTCCCAGCTCTCTCCAACCTCTCTCTAACTCACTCCAAAACTCTCTCTGTGACTCCTCTCCAATCTCCCCAGCCACTCTTACTCTCTCCTCTCAGCTTTCTCTCTTAACTCACAACCTTCTCTAACTCTGTGTCTCTTGTTCTCTCCATCTCTATCTCTGTATCTTCTTCAATTTTCCTCGAACTCTCTGTTTCACTCAATCTACTCATCCCCTCTTTACTGTCACCACCATCTCTCTGTCTCTCTGTAACTCCCTCTTTTCTTCCTGTAAGCCTGCAATTCTTTCTTCCCACTGTATCTGTCTCTGGCGTGTCTCTCCTCAATCTCCTGTCCTTTTCCGTCTCTGTGTCTCCCTCTTTCTTCTCCCCTGCCACTCTTTTTCTTCTCTCTCCACGCCTCCCCAAACCATACCTCCCTGTGGGAAACGTGATCAACATGTTTTTCCAGTCTTCCCGACCAGACCACCTGCAGCCCACAAGGGCAAAACAGCCCTTAAGGTGTGTTTCTCCTCTCCTTAGACCAACAACTTAATTAACATCTTTAATTCTACTTCCTAATATGTACCATTCTGTATGAACACTTTTAGGCCTGTAGGGTGATTTTCCTGGGGACATCTCACCACAGACTCAGACTACAGTGCTCAGGCTAGATTAATTATTCCTAACTCCAGCACTCCAGCAGTGTCCAGATCTAGTTATTACTTTATGGATCATGACAGAATTTGTCCATGACCAAGCTATTATAGTTAATCATTAGGGCACTTTGGCCAGGCCCATTTTGATGCCAGGGTAGCTCACCGCTTGCCCTGGGTCCATCCAGTCCCTCGTCGGGAGCCTGTTTTTGGGGATCTAGGAAGGGTGACAACTGAGGATTAGATCAAGAGAGCAGATGTCCAGGAGTTAATATTATCTGGAGTCAATCAACTCCAAAGCCACAGGCTTGTTTTTTACCTGTCTTCCTGTGTCCATACAAAAAGCAATTGCTCTGAAATAACTAACCATGCAAAGGACAGTAAAGAGAAGAGAAAGACAATATTTACAAGTCAGAGTCTGATCAGGAGACAGAGGTAATTGACAGATTGAGGGGCAATCAAATCAACAAACACAAGCTCCCGCCGGCCAGGGAGGAAGGTCAAACCAATGTTATCCTACACCCCTGTTCTAGTCAAGTTCAGATATAGCATTTCTTTCCATAAGACCATGCTGATACACTGCTCTGATAATGCTTGCAAGACTTTTTTAATTTTGGGAAGTGTGGTACACCAGGGTAAAAACCAGGACTTCTTCCTAGTGTTCTTGTTTTCTGTTTTTAAATTTTATTTTAGACACCAGGGTTTGTGATACTGTTAAGGTTAGAGTTTCATGCATAAATCATTCCCATACTACACCCTCCTCTAGAGTGTCCACTTCCCTCCACCATTGTCCTAGGGTTCCTCTCACCCTCATTCCAGTTCCTGCTTCCCTCCACTGTGGTAAGCTTTGTACCAGTTCTCAGTTTCCATCCAATGTTATACCTTTACTATGCTTGTTATAACCCTATGTTTACTTCACTGTATCACTGTATCACTGTCATCCTGTTGTTCATTGATTGCCTCGAGCAGGCACTAGTAACGTCTCTGTCTTAGCCCTGAGATTTTAAAAAGTGCCACATTCGAGGCTCTATCAGGGTCAGGAGAATGAGACCCATCATTGTTACTGGTTTTGGGCATACTGAATACACCATGGGGAGTTTGCCAGACTCTGACATGTGGGCACGAAACTTTTGGTAGCCTGCCAGGTTCTTCAGAGTAAGAACTAGATAATAAGATGTCAAGCGACTGCAAATGCAGCCACACACTCCCAGGAGCTGGGTTTTATAGTCTCTGGGTCTTGGCCGTTGATGGGATTACACGGCACCAGGGGCAGTTGGTGGGTGTGACGCCTATATACTGGAAAGTGGGGGATCTGGGTGGAGGAGGCCCCAGTCCCAATCCGAGCAGGCTTGGAGATCTATGCCCCGGGTCTTGCACACCTGGGTTCCTCTGCCGGTTCCTTCATTAGTGAGGCTCATCCGAACGTGTGGAGAGTGGTCTTAAGCATGGCTGTGGCTGGAACCAGAGGTCTTCAGCTGCCAGGGCTCTGCTCAGGGTGGGGAGGGAAACTCAATCTACCCTCTTCCAAGGGGCCCCAGTGAGAACAGCCAGGCACAGAGGCAGGAGACTCTGTGCTATTTACTTATGTTGCACATATGAGAGATATCATATTCTCTCTCTCTCTCTCTCTCTCTCTCTCTCTCTCTCTCTCTCTCTCTCCTAATTTTACTCAGTATGAATCTCTCCATAACGATCCTTGTAGCAAAAAATTGAGACCACGTTCGGACAGCTCATGGAAAGGAAGGCACTTTGAGGTTATTCAGAAGCTTTGCCATATTGTAAATGAAACATTTCACACCTTTCTAGTGCACAGGCTGGGTGGTTATTGAAGCAGATGCCAAGAACCTACAGTTCTGCTTCTGAAAACCTTTTTGATCATTCTATTGAAACATTATTTTTGGTTGTACAGGGAACTGGGAGGAGGTGTTGTACTCAGTGGATGGTATACAGTATAGAAATGTAGGTTTGTAGAACTCATTTCTGTCTAGTTGTTACTCACAAATGCTGACATTTGGGTTTCTTTGTTTTTTGATTTGCATAAGGCCCAGCATGAGGAAAATAGGAAAGTTGTGTGGGCTAGCATTATCCGAAAAGACTGCGTCTTGCTCTCTCCTGCTATTCCTCCCCATTGTACTCATGCTCTTGGAAAATACAGACTTACTTTTTGTTCCTGGTACTCTTTGAGCTCTTTGCTGGAGCTGGCAGCATGCTAGAAGAAAACTCTTAAGGCACTTTTAACAAGGGCACTGTGCGACATTCATGTATAATGGACTTGCTTTCTCCTTTTACTATCTGCCTCTTGCTTTTGTTTTCTTTTACTCCTTTTTCTAATTTATCTTATCTGGCTGCATTTATATATACCTTGATGTCGATAGCTATAAATCCCTTTAGATGAAGTTATTTGTTGACCGACCAACCAGTTACTAACACCAAATTCTACCAATTCATGATCTTTCCCCTAGACTTTTATTCAGGATGGTCAACAGAACTTCTCAAGAGAGTCCTTTGCACACTATTAATCTACAGTGGCAACCTGCACGTGAATATTAATCCATCTCAAGGAGACACTTCTGGAGGCAGGGGGTGAACTTGTCATCTTCTTTACTAAAGAAATAACCTATAATTCTTAACAAATGGAATTAGGAACCAACAGTTTTTGCAGGAAAATTGTAAATGAGTATGGTGTTAAAGTTGGATAGGTATCATTTCAACTATTATATTTGAATTCAAGGAGAGTTTAGCTGAAGAAAGTATTTTATTAATTTGTGACAAGTTCTTGGGAGTGGTTACCAGAGGGAAGGGGTTAAGTGTGCATGGGTAAATGGAGGCAAATATATGGTAGAGGAATAAAATGAGCTTTCAGTGGTGGACTTAACATAGTATATGTGTGTTGAATATGTTGAATTTCAGTGATGTACACCTGAAGAACCATATTAAGGATTAAAAAATAGAGACTAGACCCTGCCGAGTTAATGTTAAAATATTATAATTTTAAATCTTGTTAATATTTTATCATTTTATTTTGTTAGCATTGTATGTGACACTGGTGAACTAATTTTATTTTCTTTTTGAGCCACACCTGGCAGTACTCGGGGTTTACACCTGACTTCACTCTGTGATCACCCCCTGGCAATCTTAGGGGACCATATGGGAATGCTGGGGATTGAACCTAGGTTGACGGGGCGCAAGGCAAGGACCTTACCTGCTGTACTCTCTCTCTCTCTTCTCTCTTTTCTCTCTCTCTCTCTCTCTCTCTCTCTCTCTCTCTCTCTCTCTCTCTCTGTCCCCCTGGTGAATTGATTTTAAGGGTGTTTTTATTGTCCAAAATCAGATTTACTTGATCATCATTTTCTTTATGGATAAATGTGTTAGCCAACTGTCCACTAAATTGAAAGCTTATTAGTACAAATGGGTAGTTTGTAAGCATAGTTTGATGTATTGGCATAGTTATAGCATTTTTTTTTGTGTAGATTGAAATCATTTTCTTGTCTGATGATTAGTGGTAAATTTAGGTCTGAGTGTAAAGATATTATATTTATTTTCTTTGTCTATTTTTGCACCTAAAATATAAGAAGTTAAAAAATATGTGAATATTTCAATTATTTCCAAGACCTTGAATGTCTAGTGTAGCTGATGGCCAGTATGAGAAGTTCAGAAAATTATATAGTTATATTTTTTGTTTTGGGCCTATGGAATCTGTGTTTAATATTTAGAGTTCTCAAGAACTTTTAGACAAAAAGTGTCTCTGGTGTTTATGATGCTGTACTGATGAATGTGTTTCAGGTAGACCTAAATGGGATTTCTTTTCTTTCTTTTCTTCAGTTCTTTCAGGAGGTCCATTCCCTCAAGGGCATGAATATGAACTGTATGAAGTTAGATTTCACTGGGGAAGAGAAAATCAACGTGGTTCTGAGCACACGGTTAATTTCAAGGCATTCCCCATGGAGGTGAGAATAATCAATCCTCTCTAAACACTTGTTCATATAAGGCTGTCAGTGATTTATTGAAAATGGCATTGTTTAAAAATAGATGTGTAACTCTTGAATTTTATCAATTTACATTTAAAGTAAAAAATAGTGTTTAATGAAATGTAAAGCTTGGGATAGTGAATGAAGCTTCCTATTGACTTTAATGGGCTTGAAGAATGAATATGGGCTATTGGCACTGTAGCACTGTTCTCCCGTTGTCTGATTTGCTTGAGCAGGTGCCAGTAACATCTCCATTGTGAGACTTGTTGTTACTGTTTTTGGCATATCGAATACGCCACCGGGAGCTTGCCAGGGTCTGCCGTGCAGGCGGGATACTCTTGGTAGCTTGCTGGGCTCTCCGAGAGGGACAGAGAAATCGAACTGGGTTGGACGCATGCAAAGCAAACACCCTACCGGCTGTGCTATCGCTCCAGACAATTGGTAATAAAGGAAATCTAAGTTTTTTCCCTACTATTATTACTCTTGCGAACATTTTGCTGCCTCTGCAAATGCAATTGATTGGTTTTGTAGATATTACCAAAAGATAATAAGCTGAAAAACAAATACTTTTTGAAGAGATCTCAACAGTAATTAAAAGTCTAGTTTAATCACCCTTGACTCAAGAGTTTAGGGAGAAGAAGGACAGAAAAGGAAAGAAATCAAGGGGAGAACAAAGAAGATGAGGAAGGGAAGTAATGGGGGAACAGGAGTTGTGGCTTGGGTGTCCAGCTAATGTGGAGAGTGCTGTAGCTATACACTCAAAGCACAAACTCAGCAACAATGAAAACAGGGGATCTAAGATGAGAACCATGGAATTTTGTCATTTGCCTAAATTGTGGGTGGAGTGAGGACTAGGTGGGAGGGACTGTGGCGGGGGGGGGGGGGGGGTGAGGTCGGGTGGGAGGGTGAGGGTGGGGGGAAGGGGAGGAGGAATGGAGTATGGGAATACTGGTGGAGGGAAGTTGACATTGGTGGTGGGATTGGTGTTGAAATATTACATGCCCCGAAATCAATATCAATAACTTTGTAAATGATGGTTTTCGAATTATAAAACTAAAATTTTTAAAAAGTCTAGTTTAACTTTGATTAAAATGTGTAGGCTGGTTTTATTCACTCAAGCAATTAGGGAAAGAGTAAGAGATTCTTAGAGAGTTATTTTGTTTCAAGAATTTTCATGGTCAACTTCATTTCTTCTTCCAATATGTAATTGTAATATCATTTCCCTCCCATGGGCCTTTTTTAAGTACCTTCCCGAAAGAGAATCAGTGTTTCCTTCTCTGTGCTCACTGTGCTCGAAAGCTGTGGCTCTGTTCTCATGAATGAGTGAAATTTTAGTAGGTAACATATCTTTCTCTTTGGCTCTGTTGTGAACTGAATGTCTTTGTCCCATTTTCCTCCATTCCCAAATTCATACGTTAAAATTCTACTCAATGTGATAGTACCAGGAGGTGGGACCTTTCAGAGGGCCACAGGATTCAAGGTGGTCATGAACTTTGTTGGTAATTCATCCAGTCTATGAGTTTTTTTGGCAGTCTGAGCTGATAGCTCCTGATATTTTTTTTCCTCTACTTTTTACCTCCATTATTTATCTACTTTAAGTACATCAGCGTTCATCAGGGTGGAGCTGAAGAGAGGTCCTGTTGATGCAGGCCTGGGTTATATCTTTTCTAAAAAAAGTAAAGTTAGACAAGCTTATTTAGATTAGTTTTATCTATATATGCTAGGCTGCTGGAGTTCTCTACCACCTCATATGTACTTAAGGAATTGTTCATAGGTACATATAACACCCAATTCTCAACTTAGGGGCTGGTAATCTCTGCTATATAATTTCTACAAATCATATATGTGTATATATGTACACATATACAGATAAATATATGTATACACACATATACCTTAAAGAATGAAGTTAAATGACTCTTGATCTAAAAGAAAAAAATATTAGCACATAAGACTCAACCTATAACAATGTATTAGTCATCTCTTATACAAGGGCTAAATGATTCCAGGGTGAGATACAGCAATCTTTACACACTTTCCTCTAAGGAAACTTTTTTGGGATCACTTTTAGTGGGTTATTCATGACAAGAAATACAAAATAAATTATTTAGGACCTGATCTTGGGGCAGGCTTGGTGGTGGTGGGAAAATTTGAAATAATGGTGGTGGGAAGGTGTAAGGGTGGTGGGATTGGTGTTGGAATATTGAATGTAGTAAATTATTGTGAACAATTTTATAAAAAAAGTATGACCCAAAAATCAAAATAAATAAATGAATAAAGTATGAAGTTAGAGACATGCCTCCCTCTGAATATTAATTATAATAAAAATAACTTTGAAAGTGATTTTTTCAGTTGTATAAGATTTTTTCAGTTGTCTTGGCCTGGGAATATGACTCATAAGTTCCAAACATATGTGAGTCCCTGAGTTTACCCCTGACACCATATTGCCCCTCATCTCCCCACATCCCCTCGGTCCTCTAAATGCTGTTGTGTATGTTTTCTACAAAAGCAAAGACTCAAACTATTCAAAGTAAAATACTAAACATGTTAACCAAGGAGGGGGAAGATGTTTCAAGTAGACTGTGAAAAAGTGAGTAATGGATGGATGGATGGTTAGGACAGTAAGAGAAGATGAAATCTTTAAGGCCCTGACTGATATGACAGGATGATGGTGGGGGTCTTCAAATGCCATCTTACTTGTTTACTAATATCCTCTCTGTCTATTAATATCCTCTCTCCTTGATGCACTGCTTTAAAATAGTTTTGGCCCCTGTTCTGCCTCCCCTTTGGCCACTGAACAAACAAATTAGAGACATAAAAGATAATATCAGAACACATCCCAAGGCAGAGAGGACACCAAACAACTCTAAAGGTTTAAATATTGGGGGCAGGCTGGGGTGGGAGGGGGAGAAATGCACTCAATGGGAAAGCTTCCTCCCTGCCTTCTATTTGTGTTTGAAAGACCATTTTGTTATTGTTTTTTTCTTTGCCTACCAAACCTCAAAGGAATGCTCTAGTAATTAGAAATTTTAGGGAGAGATGGGCATAATTGGGCAGTCAGCAACTTCTAAGCAGGAATTTAGTGGCTTTGCTGGTGACACAGAGAATTTACAGCCCCGGGAAAGTGTCATTAGATTAGGAGAGTCAGTGATGTGTGTGACCCTTTGCTCCATAGCAAATAAAATTTCCGGACCAAATGTTCAGTTGGGTCTTGCTACCTTGTGGTGTTTTAACTGTGCCAGTCCATTAAGCACAGGTAATGGTTTGTTTTGAGTATGATTTAAATTCTGGCAGTAAGATATTTTTTCCATAGAAATATTTATATTGCAGATAATGGAATTATTGACTCGCTTTTTCCAAAATAGGTGGTAAATAATATTTACATGCATAACTCTTTCTCCCTGTACCAGTTCTCTGTAAAATTAGTTATTCCAGATGAGTTGGGTGTTAGATCCTGTTGAAGACATCAGTGGTGTGTGTGTGGGGGGGGGGGGGGTGGTAGAATTAGAGTGAGATGCTTGCAGGCAAAGTTTTATTTATTTTTCCTAATGAGGTTTGTATATTGACTCATGTAATGTGGTGAAAGTATGGAAAGAGGACCTTCCCGCACAATCGTCCTGAAGCAGCGGTGAGATAGTCACAGCAGAGTGAGGTGCCAACTCACCTCCGGTATTTGGCTCTGCACTGCCATGAAGGACTCTGCAACCCTAGGGTTTGACTAACAGGAGAGTGGAGTGAGACGACTAGGGACCCATGTGGGTGCACGATCAGATTGATACCCAAGGAGAGTAATAACGAGGGCCACACCATTGGAAGCCTGCTTCAAGTGTTTGGGGAAAAAGACAGTTTGCATAGAGAAGGGACCACTATGACAAAGATAGAAATGATCACTCTGGATAAGAACTGTGTGCTGGCACAGATAGAGAAGGGAGCACCAAATAAAGGGTATTGGGAGGTTCCTCTCAGGATGGGAAATGCGTGATGAGAGTAGACTATAGTCCGAACAAGATTGCCACTCAATGTCTCTTTTGCAAACCACAACACTCAAAAGGAGAGAGATAACAAAAGGGAATGCCCTGCCACAGAGGTAGGGTGGGATGGGGGGAAGGGGGGTGGGAGGGATACTGGGACTGGTGGTGGTGGAGAATGGGCACTGGTGGAGGGATGGGTATTCGATCATTGTATAATTGAAACCCAAGCACAAAAATTTGTAAGTCTACAACTGTACCTCATGGTGTTTCACTAATAAAAATTTAAGGGAAAAAAAAAAGAACTGTGTGCTGAAAGTAGGTAAAGGAACAAACATGATAATTGCTCAGTACCTGTAATCTGTATTGCAAACCATAATGCCCAATGTGTGCGGGGGGGGGGGGGGGGGGGGAGGGGAGGGGGAAGGAGAAAGAGGGAGAGGGAGGGAGAGGGAGGGAGAGGGAGGGAGAGACAGAGATAGAGACAGAGAGAGAGGAGGAGAGGGGAGAGGAGAGGGGAGAGGAGAGGAGAAAAGAGAGGAGAGAGGAGAGAGAGAGAGAGCCTGACATAGAGATAGACACTGGAGGAAGGAGGGGTGGCCGGAGGGAAACTGGGGTCATTGGTGGTGGGAAATGGACACTGGTCAAGGGATGGGTGTTGGATTATTCTGTGACTAAAACCTGATCATGAACAGTTTTTTAACAGTGTATCTCATGGCGACTCAATTTGAAAAAAAAAGGAAAAACATTTTTGAGGTCAATTTTCAATTTTTATTTATATTTTAAAACTATTTTCAAAATCACATCAGATCCATAGTTCATTTTTGTGGTTTTCACTTGAACCTAATGGGTGGTTTCTGAAACATGTTTAACAGATCAATAAACATGGCTGCTTATTGATTTTGACAGAAATTCATCAAGCTAGTATTTTGATTTTTTAACAAAAATCACTATTTTAAATTTTCTTTGTTTCTAGGAGCCACACCCAGCAGTGACCGGGAGCAAAGTTAG